ATCCGAATGCCTGCATACATGGTGAAAGGGAAATGCAGACGAGACCTGTTACCCCAGTTCACTGTACAACGTGAAACTCGAACAGAGGATTGCGGAGGCGGAATGCACCGAATGCGATGGTTTTACAGACTGCTTTGGGATGGTGGAAACGTCGCTTATCATGACTACATGAAGACCGTGCTGACCAAGGAGGAGATCGAATCAATGATCAATCCAACTGCAACAGCTGAGTATGTCGGCGACATTTTCGAATTCTGGCTTGGAATGCTTGATCTGGGTATTCAATTCCCTACTATGTTCGCTGGATGGGGGGCAAACCTTGACAGTTGCCTCGCAGGACTGGAAGAGTCGTTTTGGCTATTCAGCAGTTCATGTCGACCTACCGACACCATCAACACAAAGCGAAACCGATCCAGGAAAGCATACATCCCGCCGGTCGAGAATGACATGGTGATTACAATCTTGAAAGAAGCAGGAATTTTTGACCTACTCATGCAGAAGAAGATCACCAGAATGCCGGTGCTCCCAGAAGCCAACTACGATGACCACCCTGAAATGATTGAGGTCTCATCAAGCGATGAAGAGGTGGATGAAGTTGATGAACCTGATGAGGAGACCACGACGCCTACGGCGCGGGGCCCTCGAGCAGAACAAACTTCAGGAGAAACCGATGCCGGAGCTGGTGACATCGAGATTGAGGAGGAGGAAGATGGCATGGGGGGACAACCTTCAGAAGCGAAGAAGCGCCGAACCGAGGTGCGTGACATCCGTGATCGTTTTGAGAAGCTGATTTCAGATGCATTGGATGTTCAATATTGTTTCATTTGTGGTGGAAGGCATGGCATTGACGAATGTACTACACCAGATGATGAGAACATGAAGGACACCATATGGCGCATGAGGTTGATCATGGATCATGGATCAGAAGTCCAAATCCCCATCATCATCCGAAAGATCCAAAGCTGCAACCAGAGGCAGAAAAGACAAGCTCCCAAAGAACGTCATGCCACGAGGAAAGCGTTGGGGAAGAACCAGATTCACTGAGAAAGAGGAAGTGACCAAGTGCTTCTACAGTCAGTCAGCCTTTATGTACGACATTGGTGATCGTGAAGAAGGAGGACAATACTTAGTGAATGGTGTCGAAGTCAACCCAATTAGCCGAGGTGTGAAGAATCGTCATGAGCTTGACTTGCTGATTGAGCGTGCGGCTGAGGAATCCCCGCCTGTTTTGCCGACCATTGAAGAGCTGAACGCTTGGAACCCCCTTGATCATGATGCTTATGTAAAATGGCTTATTGAAGAAAGAAAACAACGTGGAGACAACTGGAACTTCAAGTACATCCAACCATTTACACATGGCCACAACATTGGTACACTTCAACTTGCTCGCATTAATGGAGAAGAATATCTTGGAATGGGCTGGTGTAAAGTGCATCGATATGGCGAGAATGAGTGGATGGGCAACAAGTGGGAAAATCCGCAATGGATAGTCGAATTGTCGAAAAGATTCAATGCAGCGCTACGCCACTCCGTGGGTTGCGTCAAAGACAATCGAAATCACCGTGGACTACCATGCGACGAGGCAGGTTGGGTCAATGTTGAGTCGATCTTGAAGTACGATGCCATTTGGAAAGACCAACATACATTGGCTGGAACGACCTACGTCAATTATCCGATACTTGTTGAGAGGTGGAACAATTTCCAGAGAGTGATCTTCACTGAGTACAAGCAAACGAAGAGAATCCGAGCACAAGTGCTAGGACTCAAGGTCACGAAAGGTGAGTTGGAACACATTATGAACAACTTCAATGATGGATTGACCTCTAGACTTGATCGACAAACACTGAGGTTGGAGATCGGCACAGCAGATCGAGAGATTTGGCTTTGGCCGGTGGCAATCCGTGCCCCTATGGCGCATTCAAGAGTTCAAGGCGGTGTGCACATCGAAGACAAGAAGACTTCCTATCAGATGAACCCTGGAGTAGGATACACTCTTGGAGGAGGATTTCATTGCACCACATTTGACAACATCGCTCAAATCTTCAGAGAAGGACTACGTCCAGGAGGAGGAGGCGACCGCATCAATACGTTCTTCGTGCCATTCGCACCGTGGGACGTGAGAAGTCAGATGGTGCTGAGATTCAGGAAGATTGAACAAACTGATCTTGTCTACATCTACATCACGTACGATTCCATCGCCAAGTTCTCCCCTCGATTATCAGCAGACGGACACATTTTGGTCCAAGAAACAATTCCATTCGAATCATTCGATGCAGTTTGGTATTACGACTGGAGAGAAAAGGACTACTACCGTCTCATGATCACGAAGGGAAGAGATCAACTTGTTCTTTCTGTGCAAGGTGCAAAGAGGGTGGCCACCATTGAACGATTTGACAAGCTCATTGGAAACATTGTGCCTGAAGAATCATCACCCGATCTAGACGAACTTCGAAAACTTGTCGATATCAGGACCGGTCACTTCAGTCATACTCACAGATTGTTCCCTGGACATCCGGATTGGAATGATGCAATTTCATTATTGGCAGTCACTCATCACCCTAGCAAAGAGGACCATCGACTATGCCCCGCATGTCTGATGGAGACCCCTGCGCCATTATCGATTTGTGTGATGTGCAAAGGATTTTTGGTGAGTCATGGATGGAGGAAACGAATCAAGATCACCGTGGCTACAGTACCAAAGGCCGAATCACATCATCGAGAAGAAGATCTCAAAGACCATGTCAAGAAAGCATGGGAGGAGGTGAAGATCGATTTGACAGGTGATGATGATGACGACGAGGTGATGCCAGATGATGATGATGTCACTATGAAGAGTCCAGAACAAGAAACTCAACCAGAAGAAGGAGATGATGATCAAGCCTCGAAGAAGGGCGACATCAATGATGAGAAAAGAGACTTCAGAGAACAAGATGAGGTCGACAAATTTCTCAATCAAGAAGGAAAACCGACCGATGAGAACGATGATGAAGAGATAGCGGTCGATGAAATCAACATTGAAGGGTACGAGGCTGGAGAAGCTCGTGATGCAGTGATTGAGTACCCCAAGTGGATGCAGCGGATTGAGTTTGGATCAAAGGTCCTGCCGATCGAACCTTACACAATTGGAGATGCTCAGCCAGAATTCATCAAGATCCTCCTGTTGCAGATTGGATTACATATCGTCAGGATCTACAGACTATTCCAACGGAACTTCTGTGGAGACATCGAGACGGCATGGAAACATTTTCAACAGAACCAGAAATTCAGGATGGACCTGGACTCAAGAACACCTTACCTGGGCGAGGATGAAAATGGTGAACTCATTGAACCAACTGCACAACAGATGAAAGAGCTCTACAAAGAGGCGACCGAAAACTCATTGAATCACAACAGGACGAGGGATCGGAGACATCGAGATTCGTCAATGCATACTATGGGGCAGTGGTACTCAAAAGACTTCTCATATATACCCTTGAATGTGGCTACACGTATGATGACTTGCAAAACATATTCTTTGATGAGGAGATGGAGAAGCTGTCGAAACGTGACACCACAATGGATGAGATGAGAAAGACCACAGCGGCCCGCGACGCCCTTGACCGACAAGACGTCATGGTCAGAAGAATCATTGCAGGTGCATATAGGGTAAATGCTGTTTATTTCTTCAGGAACGTTGACTTTCAAGACACAATCACACTGAATCCAGTTGACATTGTGTGTGCTCTTCGTCCACCACTTCGAAGAATATCACTTTTACACCTGATCCTTCAGAATGGCCGACAATTGCCGCGACCTCTACTCCAAAAGCTATATGATGCGATCGATGACTACAATCACATCAAGCAACGGGAAGATCAACGACCAAGGTGGGGCATCCACTTGTCTGAAGCTCACATACTTGCGATTGCTGATACCCCGACTCCTGCTGATCGTGAACGTGCCAATCCAGCCGCTGGCAAATCGAAAGCAGCCCCGAAAGCTGCACCAGCACTGGGAAGAGTGTCGAAAGCGAAAGCATCATCGTCAGCGACATGGAGAACAGTTGAAACCGCTCCTCCGCCAAAACAAGCTCCAGTGACCCCGCCAAAGAAGGGTGGAAAAGACCAAGGAAAAGGTGGAAAATCTTATTCACACCGTGGCGGAGACTGGAACCAACAGGGATACTATGGATGGGGATATAGATGATTAAGCGATCTGACCTCTGCATAGGTCCTGATTGAACCTGGCGATGCGAGGATGCAATCATTGCTCGAGATTTACCTCTACTTCATTTTGATTTTCTGAGAGGACTCTGAGCCGGCTAATTTAGAACCACACATTGAACATCATTGCATGAAACGCTGAGTTTCTACAGCGGTCTACGTCTCAACCGACGAAGGGACGGGAAGGTAAACTTCTAGTTCCATAGTCAACTTTGTGTTTTGATTTCTTTAATTCACATGCTTGAGTGAGACTCCATGCTGGCTACGCCACATTGGATGAACCTCAATGCTAGACACCGACTACGTCGTGTCTACATGCACGTGAACAGAACCTTCATTTTTTGGTAGAGATCGTAGCAAGCCGCCATGTAGATATGAAGTTCTGAACGGACTTTAGCTCTCCATAATTCAATAAATGAACAGCTGCGAGTGTAGTGGATCAATTCAAAGAACACTCCTTTGCGCGTAGCCAACAAAGTTGGCTATGCGTGGGGGGTGCGAATAGAGTGTAGGCTACGGATCAAGTATAATATCACAACTAAACACTCTGTGATCCAGCACCAAAGGGGCAATCCGAACTGGCCTCTTTGGCTCAAGACCCCACTGCAGCACTGGAGAAAAGATCAGCAATGCGGAAGCAGCTGCCCGTGTGACGTCGTCGAACTGGAACATTTATCCTCAACATCAACCATTGGAACATAATCGGGTAGGCAATCCCCGATTCGCATACATACATACATACATATCTATATATATACATATGTGTTCATGTGTGCCAAGTATTCTTTATCTTCCCAGGTGGAGATCATCAAAGCGGAAGACTCAGATGGAGCTTCTGGATCTCCCGATTTTGGGAACGCCAAGTGTCCGAGGTTTTGGGAACGCCAACCCGGGAGGAGCTAATGGCCATGAATCCCAACTACACGGAGCCGACAGCTCAGGATTTCTTGTGGTAAGGGGATGTAAGGGGAAACATGGAATGCACATGTTACAACTTGGACATTCCCGGTCATCCACCATGTTTCATATGTTTTTTTCCAATTCTCTCTGTCCTGGACTCTTAAGCAAAACATGGCGGGAAAAACCCGATGTTGAGCCCCTTGACCCCCACAAAGCTGCCCCCTTCAGGGTCCCACGGCTGAGGTTCAAATTCCCTCAGATCAAGCCACATCCGTGGCACAAGGTCTTCAGGTCGCGCACCTCCCAAGAGGCGAGGGTTAGGGCTGCAATCTGGGTTGAATTCACTTTTCTACCAGCTAAATCACAGAATTTTCCTGCATAATTATGTGTTCCTGAAACCATATTCTTGTTTTATATTCCACTATATAAACTGGAAGAATTCCTTCTGTTGATGCTTTTGAGAGTTTGTTCATGTTTGTTCAAGCATTTAGGGGCAGGGTTAGTTGCTGAACATCGGCTCATGTGTTCAATGAGGCAGTTGACTACATCTCCAAGTTGCTGGTCTATGACCCGAAGCTGCGGCCTTCGGGCTTGCACTGCTGCACACATGTGGGCCTCCCAGTTAAGAGGCGCTGAAAGGGTGTCCCAAAATTTGGAGGCCTCGGAATCATTCATGATTTGACATACCATGGGATAGCTCGGATAGCATATGAAACTTATCACGCGATTTGATGCATTTTCAATAGTCCGTGGGGATTCTCATGAGCTAAGCATGACCCTGCTCTGAGGCCCTATTTGATGACCTGCGCGACCCCAACACGACGCTCCGGCTTGGATCTTCCGCCCAGATAGAGATATATAGAGATGATAGAAATGAACAGAAATGATAAATTTCTGGCAGGGGCCCATCATGGTAGCCATGTTGTCGTCCTGGAAATTGCAGCATTTCCATGGCAGCCAGGCGAATCAGCAGCTCCAAACCGCTCCCGGACAGAGCCAAATGAGTTCGCTTCAGTTTGCCTCGTTTGTGACGGGTTTCGTCTGCTGCTGGGATACCTGAAAAATTCTGAAACACAAATATAATAGATTCAAATACTAGTGAATTGGCCAATCCGTAATGTACAGTGGTGATGTTCATCTCTCGGTGATTTTCAGTGCAGGCAGTGCTGGTGCGAGAATACCATACATAATGAGATGCAATATACGAATCAAACAAGTAGGGACCGTAGGGACCTCACTACAACCTGACCATACAACGCGCATCATCATGCTTATTCAGGGTAATCATCCCATATCTCATGTCTTGTGTGGGACTTATTGGTGTCGATTGTATCGATCCTTCAGATATCTCCAAACTTAGCTGCTGCAGGAGCACTTGTTTATCTTCTCCAAGGAGGAGCTCGTCGCAGCCCTGGAATTCTTAGATGTGTGGCTTTCGGACTCCCCCAAATCCACCAAAACTTGGATGAGAAGTGGTACAGAGTGACCGAGAACCTGCGGTTTCTGCTGGGCCTGAAGTATTTTCGACCTGCTGGAGTGACTTGGGGTTTAGGCGGTTTAGGGCCTATGCTTAGGGTTGGTTAACGCTTTGTGAATGATTTGTCTAGGTAGGTGTGGGTTTCTTTGAGGTTTCCGGTTTTTGGTTTCCAGAGATTCCCATCCCAAATGGTTCCATAGATTGGTAAATCCTAATAACAATGAATCACAATGGATCACCACCAATCTTCACCATGAACACCCATTATAACACCCATTAACCAATATTAACAACAAGATCCACCATCATCCACCATGGTTTCTGGGGCTACCTAGGCCTTGATGGATTCAGAGATGCAACGGAAGCTCATCCCAGCGTGGTTTGCAGCCAAGGTGGGCGCGCTTGGGACCGCGATTGTTGCAGAAATAGCCTGGTAAATCCCGGATCAAAATTCAGGTTTCAATGGGAGAACTATCGAATTCAATGGATCTAAACCAGGGATTTTCGATGGCTATGTTGAATCACCAGAGGGTAATCCCTAACCTTTGGTGGCATTTGTTGCAAGTTCGGGTCACAGTCGACATCTTGAGATCGTTGCACCGACGCAGGCAGAGAAAGGGGGTGACTCTAAAGCTGTGGCAGCAGCACCATGAGAAATCACGGCGTCGTGTACAGAACCGAGCTCGCCACACGTGCCCCCCAGCTTCTGCCCACCACCTCTGCCAAAGTAAACCAAGTAAGCAAGCAGTGCCAAGCGTGGGGACAGTGGGGGCAACTTCGGTCTCGCACTTGGGGCGCTCGAAGCACTTGTGCTATGCAAATTGTGTTTCCAGGGCTCCTGAATGTTTCACCAATTTTTGGCCACAGGATAGGTTTGCATCCGGTGGCCATGAGGGTTGATCAGAGTTGGTGGTATTTAAACCTGGCACCATCGTTCAAGTCATGGTTTTTGGACTTCAACCCTGGCCTGCTTACTAGGTGAGCACAATCCACACTAGTCTTATTCTTCAAACATCTTTGGCCCAATTGCCTATAATACATCTTTGCAAAGGCTACAGAAACGGGACACCACCTTTTGTATCCTTTCTTGAAGCCAAATCGCGCAAGCCGCCCTGTGCTGCCCTGCGGCACATCTGTGGTCTTACACATGCAAAGCTGAGAAGCGCGACTTTTCTTGGTAGGTCAGCAGCAGGCCTGCCAAAGTGCTTCAGCCTTTGGCAATGGCTGACGTTTCAGGGCAAAAATCCAGGTCTGAAATCCGAACAGCCATGCTGGCGCAGTCTTGGGCAGCCCCTGTAGTCGCAATAACTTTGGTACGAGCTTTCGCGGACACCGAGGCATTTTGTCGATGGTAAGCGTAGTGAATGATGTTTGAACTTTCCATGCAACCTGACATGCATGATTCAAGAATTAGAACAATGGGCGGACATCTATACGCAACAATACAGTCCCGACATTTTGCAGGAAGTCCTGTAACACCTGTATGGTCGACTGGTATGATAAAAAGAAGAGACAATGAGTTCGTACAATTTTTCTCATACATCGGGATCAACATCTATCACGCCATATTTTGGGGGGAGACCGGGGGAGACGACTCTCCATTTTCCCGATATTTCTTCTATGTTCACCGATAGGCAACCAGTGAGATACAACAAACGCATCATTTGGCGGACTTCTGCCGCCTTCTGCCAGCTGATGTCGTCCCGAGCCCAGTATTTCAACTTGACGAGTTGCGCGAAAGTGCCGACTGTCCTGCGCTTTTCGAGGTCTTTCTACAGTAGCGATGGCGTGTATCTCAGAAATTTCGCAGGGAAAGCCGATGCCACAAAGCAGACCACATTTAGAAGAAATAGGAGCACCAAAAGATGTTTATTATTGGGTTTCACTTTAGAGAGCTTGAAGTGTTTCCTGAGCGCCCTTGGCGCCAAAGGTGGAACGAACCAGGGGGGAAGGTAGCAAAGGTGCCACGGGGGTACCAAGGATCTGACAAAGACCTTGGGGTATTTAAGTGATTCCCCGAGGATTTTGATGAACCTTGGTAGGCCTCCAATGATTTTATATAATTTATATATATATATATATATATTATATTATATATTATATATATGATTTCGGTGTCTCCAATTTTGATTAACGATTTTTGGTGATTAGAAATCCATCGGGATGGCAGGAACGGCGCCCTCCGCCAAAGCCACTCTGGTCGCAGCGTCAGTTGCCCAGTGGGAAATTTCCTCAAAATATCAGGGGTATGGCTTCAGTGGATGATTTGAACATGATTATAACTGATTATATAAATTGCAAGCCCAACGATGAAGCACGATAAACACAATTATCCACACTATGCTCAGTTCATGAATGTTTATGGTAAGTTGAAACAAATAGAACCACACAATTATACACAATTACCAAACGCAGGAGAAACAATGTAAAACAATTTTTATGGACTCCAACATAATGACACAGCAGGATTTGCCATGGTTTGCCACTTTCATTTCAATAGGCACCCCCCTTTCCCTGGCTTCCTGCGGCCCAGGCTGCGTCAGGGAGTGGCAGCGGCTCTTTTTACGGGGGAGGCACGGTCCTGAAGGTAGATGACAAGTTTGCATTGACTATAACATGACTATCATCAGACAAGTTGATGTGGCAATATCGTGTTGCGTTTTTTGCCATGTTGCTACTACATATTACGGAATATTACCGTGATTCCATTTTGTTATTTCATTGCAAACATTGCCCCCAGTTGGGTAGATTGGTGGAATATATAATATCCAGCAAACCATAGGGATTTGCCAAAATAGTGAGATGTGAAACCATTATTTTACGAAGAGTAGCACCGCGTGTTATTCTTTGGCCATTTTCATTTTTTGATATTTTTTGTAGTTAGTTGAGCTACTTTTCATAAATACCCTACCCCATTGTTCGAGAACCCTCAGTCTCGTGCAACTCTGCGATCAAAGGTGGACGCAGCGAGAGGACTCACTTCATCGAGTGATAGGGCTGAAATGTGTCACTTATGCAGCTATGATTTCTGCACCCTTCGGGTTTTTGTGGATCTTCAAGCCACTCAGTACTTGCAACGTGCTGAAGGAGTTAGTCCGAGCGTCCTCAGGACACAAAGCTTGCTGCATGGCACTTTGGGAAACTTAATTTGGATAATGTGGGAAAATCAACAATTCATCAACCCATTTGGGAATGGTTTATACCACCTATTTACGGTGATTTGGGGGGATGATTTATGATTGTTTTACCCGCATTAGCTCGGTATCTTCAGATTTCTGTCCTCTGTTTGTGATGCTTCATTTTTCCCCGTGTGTTCTGCCGAGGACAGATCAGAGAGGTCTCCACTCAGCATTGGCTGGGAGCCTCAGGGTCAGATGTCAGAAGGATTAATCCTTGATATTCCTTGATTGGCTGCTCATTATAGACATTTTTGAACTTTTTTTTTCCCAGTTCCTTCCCTTATAGGGGATGATGATCCCTGATTTCCCCAGATTTTTGGTGTAGCTCAACCAGCGTTCCATGTCATGGCGCTAGCCATTTCGGGGTCAGCTGCGCCTCCCGCGGTCGGGACTGGTGGTCATGGCCCAGATGCAAGTGCCAGACCACACGCCGAAGGTCAATGCATTCAGTGGCCGGACTGCAATCATTTTGCCAATGGATTGGCAATGGTGGTAATGGGATGGGTTGGGATGGATATAGGAATAGACTCAGAGAAGTTTTTTCACTTCGATAGGTTTTTCGGAGGGTGCAAGTTCAGCCTGCCAGCATTTGATGTTCGTCAGACTTGGGGAGAATCCTTGCCGTACAGCTATTCGTCGTCAAAACAAAGGTCTTGGGATCGTGCAGATTATATATATATATATAATCAGATTAGGTTGCCAGAACATATCCACCATGTTGGTCATAGAGCTAGTTCATGCCAAGGGAACTACTGCATGCAAGTGGTGGACCAGCTTTGCCATGAGTTTGAGCGAGAGGTGAGCCAGATGACGCAGGACGCACTGAAGAATCAAGATTTGGGATGACTTTGAACGGGGAGAACGATTCCAGATTTGATATGGATCAACATGTTGGGCTTCCACAACCAGAAAATGTTTTGGATATTAACAGCCGAACCCGCGGGTGGCTCTCTGATATGATTACCACCAGGCACGTTTGATCAAGAAACGAGCAAGGCCGGGTGACCTACAGACATAGATGGTTGGCAGCGTGTGATGGGTATGACCACTGGAATCTCAATGCGAGGACCATGTTCATTAGCCTCTGGTAAACTAACAGTTCGCTACGGAAAATCACCATGTCTAATAGGCAAATCAACTATTTCTATGGCCATTTTCAATAGTTATGTAACAAATGACCAGAGGGTCGCCAACGTCACACTGGCTCTACGCCGCTACGCCAGGACATTGTGAGATACCGCGGAGAACTGGCTCGTTGTGCTGATTTGCTGGCCTTCCAACTTGGAAAGGAGCAATGCTTTTGATGCACAGATTGGATCTGGTGAAGATTCCAGAATTGGATCTGGGGAAACTTACCAGAAACCCGCTTTTTTTTGGGGATAAAATGCAGAACATGTTTCCTTCAATTTTCCCCTGAACCATCTGAACCAACCCCATGAGAAGATTAATTTGTGCGCTCATCGCCAGGAGAAGCAATATCACAATATGCTTGAGACTGGCCAAGACTTGGGGAGGTTGAAGCATGTAACACGCGCTTGCTGAGTATTTCAGAAACATGGAACTCAGTAGTTATGCTGATTTGCTGATTTGCCGGCACCATGCAAGGAAAATATTGCTGGGAACTCGTCCACACTGGTTGGTAAGGCTGCGGAGGCCGCCTTTGCAGAGGGTAGGGCCGGGTAGGGGCAAAGGATTGGATGTGGAGCTCATTTTGTTTGCATTTGAAGCTCTTGCCCAACAGGTGGGGCAGAAGCATTCTGCGAATGAGGGCGTCAAGATGCAAATGCACCAAATGCTCTTTGGCAGACCTGCATAAATTGCATCATTTTGAATGATCACCTATTGCAGAAGGAGCATGAAAGGAGACATAGACATAGATGTCCATAGATGATAGATGATGATAGGGAGCACAGTGACCCAGGTTGGAGCAGATGTTTGAAGGTGGCAAGGGCGTGTATGCTGAAGGTTTTGGAACCCTGGACGAACACCGTGTCTTGCCGAAACGCTATCCGATATCCCTTCAAGTCCTCAGAGGTTGCCCTGCCTATAGCTCAAAGAGAAACACAAGAGACCCTACGATGACGAAGGGAACTATTATATGCCGCAAATGCAAAGCTCAGCATTCCCATGGTGGTTCAGGATCGCGACAGCTTGTAATTTTTTTTGCCAATTTGTACTCCCTACTACTGGATTCCAATGGGATGGATTTCTGTAAGTTTATAACTCGGTCTGGGAGTTCCCTGTCCACAATAGGTTTTGGAAGTTTCCAAGCAGGGATCCAGCTGAGGTCAAATTGCTGAGACCCATCTGCAGACGTCTGCAGAGCTTCAGAACCAATCAGCTGCCATCCAGAAGGAGTTGGAAAACATTTTGCAAGCTCTTCAAATCCCTCCCGCACCTCGGAAAGAAAAGCTGAACGTATCATCCATGGTCCATGGATGTCCATGGTCAAATGGAATCAGACGCGATCAAGCATCGAACATATGCTTGATGTCGTTAGCCCTCCCCCTGGGGTTGTGCACAGGGCCCTTGATAAATCTCTTTTGAACGTCCAAGCTTGAAAATGGTGATGGCTTATGATTTGCCTCTTTGTCTCACCAGCTTTTTCACACTTTTGCTTCCGGCAGATGTCCATCAGTTCATCAGATACCAGATCCCCAGGTCTCCTACAGCAACGCGCCGGCGATCATGGGGCCATCGCAGGCTGTGCCCGTTGGATCCTTCCGCGCCCCCCAGGCGCTC